ATAAATTTTGATGTACTTTGTTGGCCGATTTAACGATGGGTCATAAACACGTCAATTAAGCATCCATAATATAGAAATAATCTGTTAATTCACAAAGGTTCTTACCATAAATGAATGTGATAATGTACCAAATGGTTTACTTAAACGAAACCACAAAAGTTTTCAAAACTCTACCAAAATTACACTGAGACCGTAGGTTAAGACACTGTTGGAAATAAATTAAGACCTTCGGGAATCTATTACGCACGATGCCCAACCTTAATTTATTCTCCTAAATATTGTTAAGTGAGATCATCGAGTTAAGGTATATTCTCATGTGTGATTTTGATACTGTACTAAGTTTGGAGGTTAATTTGTGCTATGTATAACATATTCTTCCATTTTCACTTCACGAAGAATATTCACAATAGGCCTACGAACCTGTGTTAGTCTGACCCAAGGGCGGACGGCTGCTACGGCCTAGTTTTTTATTTTATTTTTTTTAACGGGGATAAGCCCACCCAGGCACAGGCCACCGACCCACATCGGGGCCTGGGGCAAAAAAAAAAATAAATACAGAAATGGAAAAAGATAAAACAAATCAATAGTAAGAGAAACAATTGAGACCTGCAATTGTGTAAATGAGGCAGAGAGTCAGTTCATCAACCTGGGACTTGGTCACAATTTTTGTGATGCCACATGGCAGCAGGGTCTACCACCAGACAACACACTATGTTTGAAATATCTTCCCAGGCGGTAGTACCTCTCTGTTAACCTAAAGGTTAATCCAATAAATGGTGGCCGTGGCTTGAGGAGACCAATAGATTGTGTCTGATCTCCCCATTGCCTTGTCCCGGGCTAAAACACAGCCCAGCACTTCTTGTTTCCACGGCTTCAGCTTCGACTTTTCCATAGGTCTGTTACCCTCTGCGTGAAGTGCTTCCTTATATTTGTTCTACATTACATCTCCTTGTTGCTTAGGCGAGTGATGTCTCAATAGTGGGAGGACTTAACGGCATCGTCTCGTAGTGTTCCGTTGCCAGAACGAATCATGAGATGATTCGTTATATTCATAATTGTTACTTCATCAATTGAGGTAGAAATATCGAAATGCTGTGAATCATAATGCCATTGTAAATGGATAATGGCATTATAATACATCTGTAATTGTTATATTTGTAAATGAATGCAATATCGGATCATAGTGTTTCATACTTCGTTCGAAACGATTCCATTGTAACCTCTATTCATAAAAACATAGTAACGTTATAATCTTATCTGGCGATCCATCCTGGGACTGAAATAGTATCTAAGGAAGGCTTCCCAAGCATTTTCCAGTGCAACCCCGTCTAGAATAGCACGGTCGCCTATCCAGTGCGACCCGGAGTCATTACAGATGCGTTCATACGAGGATCCTTAGAGTAAATGCGAACATATTGATATACGTATTTAACTATAAAAACAAGCAAGGAAAATGTATTACATACAGTAATTGAGAATTGTAAAAGTAAACACTGGCAGCAACAGGCTACAACTGTCATGTTTAATATGTGAATGTTTCCTTGATAATTTAATGTTCTATACCTGGGGATATAAGTACATGGTTAAGCAACATAACATACAGTTTTCTTAGTTACAACTAAGTCATACAGTACGTATTTCGTATGTGACATGTGTGCACCAGCCTATAATTAATTTTCAATACAAGTTACACACGTCATAATTCATATGTAACGTGTGTGCATTAGCATTTAAAAAAAAATCTGTCAACTGGGGGCATCATTATGTGATTAAACAATATAGCACACAATTTTCTCAGTTCAAGTTTGATATGCGGTTACGGTAATATTTTTTTATAAACATTATTGACAGAAAAGCTGCCTCAGACATATGAGCTTCCAAATTGTATCAGAATCTTGATAGCTCGATTTTTAACCACTGAATGTCAATTTGACAAAAAACCTAAAACATTGATGAGTCATTATAGATGGCAAAATTCATCCTTGCCTCGTTGTCTGTCTGTAATTCTGCAATTTCGAGGACAAAAGAGCCACACTGTTTTACATCTGTCTTGAACAGAATATTAACAAAATCCAAAGACTCGGTAAGCAACTCGGGTAATCTACAATTTAAATTTGCTGCCATTTTTTGTTGCGTAACGTGTTATAAGCGTTCACCTTCCCTGGAATGACCTGACTTTTCACAAGGAGAGTAACTTCATTATCCCCTTGACTTAACGAGACAGCACCTGGGCCACGTTCTTCAGTCCTTGACACCTTGATTATGAGCTCTATGGGACCCTATCGACCCCATATGATGCATCTTGCGCGCGACCCCGTATTTGAGAGCCACTATTCTAAGGTGTATAAATCAGCGGGTTACTCTTGACGTTATTTGTTTTGCATATGGTATCACAATTCTTCCTATTTTATTACCTTATGTAGAGAATAGTTGGTATACTGCAGATATCATGGTGATTATCCGGTGCAAGAAGAAAGAACGAATGGTGCAACTCATAAACAGAAATAAAACCCGAACCGAGAATGTTGTGAACGTGTTATGGTGTTCATTTCCAAATACATCAGGTCCAGGGGTCCATACTTTTTTGGGAGAGTGTACAACACACACACACACACACACACTTCATTAATACACACTTCTCAAACTACTGTGCAGATGTAATACCTGCACTTATTTCTACATACAGAGAAGAGGTGGGCGAGCGTGTCTACCACCACTACAACACAGTGCTCACGTCTCATTCCTGCAGTGAGAAGTCTCCCACAGGTGACCACAGTCCCACACGGAGCACTTGGTTTATAGCTTCAAGAGCCAGTTTTCTTGCGCAACATGATTGCTTCACAATATTATCAAGGATACAGATGTAACGCAATATTCAAAAGAAACACAAATGTAAAGTGGGGCACAGTTTAAGAACGGTAATTGTTGGGAAAAACTCATTGTCTTGGTACAGAGGACGTCGCATGACTCGCCAAGAATCGAAACCCCGATCACCTTATTTTGTTATGAAGTTCCTGTAAAAATCTGCCTGTCCTCAGTTGTGTTATTCATTACAACACCACTACGGATGTCTTCGAAATTGATCAATATTTATAGGGATAAGGAAATAATGAGCATTAAATGAATTTTGGTAGATGTTTGTATAGACAGTTCTGGCCGACTGATGGGAGGTGCAGGAAAATAGCACAGCTAGTTATAGAGTATATGATGGAATACATGAGACAAAAATAAGACAAAGCAATTGTTTAAAAATTGGCAAGTCACCGACTTACATAGCAATACTCGGACTTAACTCTGAAAATGATCAGTAATGCCATTAATTCACATTTACTGAAAGCAGCGGTTAAAAGTGCAAATTAAGATAGGTTAGGTTATATTCAGTTGGGTATTGCAGTCTTATATAATAAATGTAATATTTTTGCATGTCAGAAGGTGTTCATAAACTGTAAATAATAAAAATAATGGGTAATGTCTGACAACAGCACTACTACCAGAACGAGTTGTTCGATTTTTCCACAGGTGTTCTCTTGATGATGGTACAGTAAGTAATAATAACGATACAATTCACAGAACCTGGCCAAACGAACCAAAGAAACCCTCCACCGTATTAAACCTAAATTACTCTGATATAATACCAATGAAAGCAACTTCGTTAAAGCGTGATGGTGTTATTTTACGTTTTTGTGGACGTGAGAGTATGGTGACCAAGCAAGTCAGTTGGACATTGAACAGAGACTCACTACGGCAAATTTTTTGGAGGAGTTTTACGTAAATAATTAATTTTTTCGCGTACAAAGCATGTAGAGACATTATTTCAGTGTCATATGACCAGTTTTTCACCGTGTTTTACCCTGCAATTTCCCTCATACTTCATGCCCTGCCCACTACAGGTGATTTATGATCGTAGTTCTATTTTGTTCATTTTTTCCAGACGTTCTTATCATTATAGTAAGTATTTTAAAATAGGTGACTAATTTTTATTTTAATTATCAGTATTTTTTCTCTACGATCATAAATCACCTGTTTCTTTGGTTGGCTAGTTCAGGTTCTATTAAAGGTCTCCTTTATCAAATACTTACTACCTGTATAATGGTAAGAACATGTGGAATAGGTAACACTGAGCAACTCCTGATGGGAGCGGTGTTCTCATACATTATAAAAAATATTTATATAATCAAAATTTAAAAAGTTGTCTGTTTTATTATACAGGTACTTAGTATAGTGATAAGAAAGTGTGGAAAAAATTAACAAAATTGAACAACTGGTGGTAGTGGTTTTCTCAGAACTTACCAAGCATTTATTTGTAAAAATTCTTATTATTTGGGTAAAATTTGTTTCAGTCATCCCTGTATTTAGATATCCAATCTAGTGAGTCCATAACGTAATACAGTAATAAGGTTTTAATAAACATGTAATTGTAAAATCAAATTAGCCATTGTCAACCAAAGTAACCATTGTGCAATCTCATTCTAAATCCTAGGTTAGCTTAGTTAGCCAACAAACTCTGTAATATGTAAAACAAGGGGTGTCGTCCCCCTCTGGTTAACTCATTAAACTTCTTTTCCAACCTTTCCCCCCACGACTATATGTTGTGACTTCTCCATCCCTCGTGTCTGGTTGTGCCTTGAGCCCCAGCATGCCTTCCATCATTTCCTCGCCTTAACTTAAAAAAAAAATAAAATAAATAAATAAAACTATCCTAACCTACCCAGGAACTATATCTAACCTAACAGGAAGGGGGGGGGTAGGGGGCACAGACCCCACCCCCCCCCCCTTTCTGGCGGGGGTTAAATACCTAAGATTCCCCGGATGACCGATCCTTTAATACCATTATTTGTCCTACACTCAACAATGTCATACCAACCGACAATTCACATATTTATTGACTAACTTTTAAAAAAGAACAAAGACAGCGACTCCTGGTCACTTAAGTCTTCTGACTTGGTTCAAGTTAATACCGTTTTCAATTAAACACCTGGAGGGTGTACTACAGTACTCACGAAGAGGAGGACAGAGATGGCGGTGAGCACATGTCGCAGCCACCCGATCATCTTGTTCTCCATACTGAACATGTTAAAACGCTTCAGGTTCATAATTTTCTCCCTTTTAAGTAGTAGAGGAGGTGTGGAGAAGCTCGGGTGTGAGGTAGACAGGTCAGGTCTCGCTGCCTTGAGCTCCGAGTGTGTCGGGCAGGAGGGTATCACCCGCTAGATGGGTCACCAGCAGGTCTTGTTTATTTTAAGTAGAAGCTGAGAAGCCTCGTTTAGTACAATTTCACAGTCATCCAACGAATATATAGTAACATATGTTTTCCGATATATATCAGACTCTAGTCCTATAATTAATGTGTTCCATTCACTGATGTCGAGAAACGGTGATCTACACACACCCTCACACTCCCAGGGTCTAACGTGCACTGCTCGAGTAGCACGGAGCCACGGACCGGTAAGCTTTCACTGTGACTCGCTACTTATTTCCGAGATTTCTTAGGCTGAATCGGTGTTCTTCCTTTGATTATTGTACGTCAGCTGTTGTATGTCGCCATTCCACACTTTCTCACAAGGATTTGAGCTTGATTTACGCCAAGAATGATAACAATAGATGCGAGAATTAGTGTGGACCATATGTAAGCCTTCCCTCGCAACGCCGAACTGACAACCACCCGTAATTCACCTAGTTCCGCGCTAATGATCATTTGAGGGATACAGGTTGACAATCCCTTATCCGAAATCCTTGGGACCAGATGCATTTCGGTTTTTGGAATTTTTCTGTTCAGAATTTTTTTTTTTTTTTTTTTTTTTTTTTTTAAACAGGGATCAGCCCACCCGGGCACAGGTCACTGACCCACATTGGGGCCTGGGGGCTAAAATATAATAATAATAATAATAATAATAATAATAATAAAATAATAATAATTCATAGGTCTAGGTCATGTTTCTCACTTTGGATCTTTTTTTTTCATTCTTGTATTTCTTTATTATTATTATTATTATTATATTATTACAGTATTAGTGTTATTATTATTGTTGTTAACATTCTTATTTTATTTTTGTGTATTTTTTATTAAAAATTTTATTAACTATGAATAATTATTATTATTACTGTATTATTATTATAATTATTACTATTACATTTTCACCCCCCAGGCCCGGATGTGGGTCAGTGACCTGTGCCCGGATGGGCTAATACCCAAAAAAAAAAAAATTGCTCCACAAAATTTTTTTTCGGTTTTCAGAGCTTTTCGGTTTTTGGAATTTCGGATAAAGGGTTGTCAACCTGTAATAGGCATTGCATTGACTGGGGTAATACCTCATCAATATTACCTTGTAATTCAATTGACCGTAGGAACATTATAGAATCTAGTCTCATTAAACATACCGAATCCGTCTTACCCTCTGACCTGACTACAGACTGCTGCTGTGTTTTATGAAGATTAGTAGGGTCATTACCTAATACCTGACCATTGTGGACCTGGTCTCACCCTCCTCTGTATATATATACCTTGTTTTGTACTTCTCCTTAGTCTGTACTCACCCTGAAGATGTGAATTACACGAAAGCGCTTGGGAACTTCGTGTTTTCTTCTTTCCTTGTGGTTATCAGCATTATATATATATATATATATACCATCAAAGGCCATAGCATTACCAATGTCTTATGCCTTAACTGGGTGTGACATAACCTCCTTCTTGTACTCAATAAAAGGGAAAAAGTCTGTCTGGGATGTGTTGTTTGTTACCCCAAAGGTAACAGAGTTTGATAACATTGTCATCAGGATCACAAGAAGTACTAGAGATCCTTTCGGTTTGAGGAGATTTCAATAAATTGCTTATTTTATGTCGTTTTCTACCCGTTTACAAAAATTAGATTTATTCCTATTAATTTATGACTTCACAAGAAATTAAACAAAATATTTATGTAAACACTTGCTGAAAAAATAACACGATAATGGCAACACCTCCAGCCTTATACATGTGTCAACACAGTCCCTCACACCACCAAAATAATACAAAGTAAGTTAGATATGAAGGAAATACTCCTGTATGTGGTAATGCAAAGACACTTGAATAAAAGTTATTATTTAGTGTGGCATGTTAGTGTGTGCGCGTGTGTGTCAAAGTGAACGAAGGAGGAATAAATGAGAAGGAGGCCAGGCACAATTCACTCACAGGCTGGATAAGAGGGGAATGACAGGCCTACACTCAGGAGACACATAACCATAATAATTAAATACATTTATTTTTATATGTACAGGTTAGGTAACTGGTGATGAATTACATCTGGTTGAGTATGTGTATTGTACTTTATATATGTAACAATCTACAAATCATTGCAATAAGCACAGAGAAGTGCACCAAACATATTCTTCTTAAAACCATTCAAGCAGACCAGTAGCAAAGCGGCCTGTGCAGTACAACATGGCCACCACCCCAATGTAACCAAAGCTGCCACGCATACGTTTCTTCGGATCTAAAACACAAGATTAACATCACCAAGTTTAGTTTATAGAAATGAAGAGTAAATAATTTAGGATATGTCTCAGAAAGTTCAATAAAATATCAGAGGATAAAAAAAAATGATGTAATTGTCTTGAATTAAGTCTGGAAAAAAAATTGCAGAGGAATATATTTTACTACACCAAATGTTCTCTTAACTCATTAAAATATTTCAACAAAACAATGTCTGATTGGAGTAAACTAAAAGCCACAGTGTTTTCATTATACTGTACATGAAGTAAGACCACTAACAATTCTAAACAGGAGTGACAAGTTAACATACCTCCTGTATAGTAACCCAGTGCGTAGGCAACACGACCAGCACACCACACAGCCCCACCAAGAGCGCTCACTACTGGGTTATGGAGACCTCCTAACAACAATAGGGTCAGGAATGTCGGGTAATTTTCAAGACTGTAAAACAAATACAGTGTTGTCATCATCTGATCAGCCCATCCATCACATAAGAGTAAGTCAGAAATATTGCACAAATATTGCATCAATTATTGTACCATCTCAAATAGACAAGATGCAAAACTTTAGAGCTCTGCCTTTAAGCCAAGTGTTTGGTTCCTAACTGAACTAATAAGCATTATTATATTTTTTTGTCAATCAACCATATCTCAGTTACTACTAGCTGGGGACAAGAGTTGCCATTGCCTTTTGATAATAGAAGAAAACAGTATCTTATTTAATACAGTAAATTATCTATCAACCAAAATGTTTGAGACCAAGAGACTATCATGAATGTGTGTCCAGAGGAAGTTGTAAAAAAATAGAGCTGTTGTCAGTTTGGTTACGGTATATTATTAGTTTCTGCAAATACTTACTTCATTATTTTCAAACATTCTCAACATTATTAAGTCTACAAATAAACTTTCAATGCATCATCAGTCTCTTACAATCACCATATAACTTACTGACTCCAGGATTCAGCCAGATCCCCTAAGCTCTCTCCCTACCAGGCGGAGGTAGGAGTTATGTTGTGGTCATTTTTCAACTCGTAATTTCAGGTAGATATACCTGTATAAAACTTTCTTCATACATATCTTTTTAACTCGGTTACATGCACACACAATCCTACATACAGAATGAGCAAAAAGAGTAAAAGAAATAGCTAACATAAGGTCAAAAACAAAAGAGAATACTATAAACATTTCTTTGTGTGAGAGAACGAGAAGGGGGGGGAACGGAGTGTCGGTCGGCAGAAGCAGTGCCCTAGCTGGGCTGAGTTGCTATGGCAAGGTTTGAAGCCATGCAGCTATGTCTTATGAAAATGATTGTGTTAAACTTTCATATAACTTTTCCTTAATGGTTTCAGTTGCATTGAAATGGTTCAACAGAAAACTACAGACCAATCAACCTAATACCATGCACATGCAAACTCTTTCAGAATATTCTGAAGGATGCCATTATTCAACTCCTGACCAAGCACAGTCTGTTTCATGGAAAGAAAGTCCTGCTTGACAAACCTATCCACATTCCTTGAAACAGTAACAGACTATGTGGACCCTGGTTTACCAGTTGATGTGTTGTATTTTGATTTTTCTAAGGCATTTGACAAAGTTCCACATGCATGGCTAGCCTCTAAGGTCCAGGCAAATGACATCACAGGCAAAATATTGAAGTGGAATAACAACTGGTTCAAAGACGGGAAACAGAGTGGTCACAAATGGAGTATTCAGAAAAAAAAGGTTCTCTGTGGAGTACCACAAGGATCTATCCTGGACTCACCCTGTTTATCATCAATATTAACAACATAAACAAAATTATATCAAATCACACTCAAGTTTGTGAATGACACAAAGGTATTTGGGAAGGCAGCAAGTCAAGATGATGTTGCATCAATGCAAAAAGATTTGCACAGAAGATGCTGATACTGTACTGGCAAATGCAACTCTTCATAGGACACAACAATCCTAATCACAACTATTCTGTTAATAACACTTTCCTAGATACTGTTGTTACGGAAAAATATCTAGGCATTGTGATAGATCATTCACTGAAGCAAGCACAACAAGTCGGGGTAGCAGTGGAAAAAGAAAAGAAGAAGAATTAAAAGTTGTGCTTTCATATGCAGTAATATTTCCGTCAGCCAGAATCGTTCCTAAAGCCGGAATTTTCCGGCATTGGGAACGATTGTCTAAGGGGCACATTTTCCCGAAAATTCTGAGAAAGTTTTCCCAATACCCGGAAAATTCCGGGGACGGAGGAGTTTTTTCCGGTTTTCAGAGTCGTCTCGTTACCCGAAAATCTCTCATTCCCGGAAGTTCTCTGCACCAACTGTTCCGGCTAACGGGGATATCGATAACGAATTGCCCCTTAAGCTTTACATCACCATCTGGATTACTGTATACTATAAGCATGGAAACCCTACCTCCAGAAAGACTTAATATCCCCAGAAAAGGAGCAACACAGAGCAAGTAAGATGAGTCCTAAACTATATCTCATTTATCTAAGTAGACTGATGGCCTTTGGTTTAACAAATCTTCAGACAAGACACAATGAGGCAGATCTCGTATAGATAATCAAAACCTTGAAAGGGATGAAAAAGGTGAACCCAGGACATTTGTTCATTTATGTCACAAACCACCAACATGAGAGGACACAACTTCAAGCTAGTCAAGATGTCAAGCAGAACAAATTTAAGGAAATACTCCTTTACACACATAAGGAACAGTCTACCAGCTCAAATTGTGGAACTGAAAGCAATACAAGTACTTGACAGAAAAATAGCCTTGACAACACTATCAAGAAAAATGGAGGGATCCTACACAGGCCACTGGTATTCTTACCCAGCATGGCCACCTGTTATTATTATTATTATTTTTTTTTTTTTCAGGATTAGCCCACACAGGCACATTGGGGCCTGGGGGGTGTAATAATAATAATAATAATAATAATAATAATAATAATAATAATAAAGGTCCATAAAG